CCCGTTGACCCCGCCCGGTATGGTGACCCCACCCTGGGGGGGTTCGGCCCGGCCTCGTGGACGACGTCTGTCTGTCTTGTAGGCAGACCAACAGCTGGTGAAGAAAGGGAAGAGCAAGGTGGGGGACATGCTGGAGAAGGCCGCCGAGCTGCTGATGAGCTGCTTCCGCGTCTGCGCCAGCGACACGTGAGTACGCCTGTCCCTGCCCGTCGGCCCCCATGTGTGCTCTCAGGGCGGCTGTGTACCCCCGTGACGTCGCAAGTTGTACTCCGGCTCTCCAGGGAGCGCACGCGCCCTAGAGCAAAACATGACAAGAGGAGGGGGGCTTGTGAAAGGAGCGTGGCCGCTCCACGGCCCCGTTTCCAGGCTCTCCCCAGCCCTCCTACCCGAGGGCCTGTCCACAGCATCTGGTGTTGAGTGCAGTCTGTCGGCTGTGGGTTTCTCTGAGCTTCAGCTTTTCTGAAATTCTTTATCTTCTTTTTTACGTTGCCAGAGGGCACGTGTGCTCACTAGAGAGACAGGGAGAAAGCACCCGGGTGAGGTCCCACCAGGAACCCAGCCCCACTCAGAGGGCCCCGACTCGCGGCACCTGCAGGGCTAAGGGAGTCCGTCACGGATCTCGCAGGCAGGACGCCGGGAGCGTCACGGGGCCGTGGCAGGCCGGCTTGTACGTCCCAGTCCGTGGAGACCAGCAGGCTGTCCTCCCTCCCTGTCCCCTTTGCATCGGGATGCGCGCACGCCGGTGTGCTTTCCAAGTCCCCAGGCCTGGGTTTGACAGCATGCTGACCTCGGGTCTGGCTCCCTCAGGCCCTGGGCGACGGGCTGGCCCTACCCGCCTGTTGAAGACCTCTGTGGCCTGCGGGGACCTGCCCCGCGACTTTCCCTGCTGGCCCGTGTGGCAGCGCTGCCTCTGCTGCTTGTGTTTCGGTGTGGTGGTGTCTCCCGGTGGCTCGGGATAAACTGGGCCGTCGTCCCCGGCTCCTGTGCCGCCTGTTGGTGCTTGACTGCGGCACCTGGTTCTTGTCGCTCCTGGTCTGACCTCTTAGTGTTGACTAGATCTTCGCTCCTCTGTCTGGACCTGCAGTTTCCCACATGCCAAGGCCTGCCACTGCCCCGCGGCCTGGTGCCTCTCTCTCCTTGTCCAGGGAGGCTGTGATGGCCTGTTCCAGGGGCTGTCTCCTCCGCTGTCCACTGGCTCTGCCCCAGGGTTTCTAGGTCCCCCTAAAACTCACCGCTCCACCCAGAATGTGGTCATGTTTATTTGGGTTGAGTTTTAGGAATTTGCAGAGAACAATTAGCAAGCAAAAGCCTGTACCTACCTACCTACCTACCTATCTATCTACCTGACCACCTACCTACCTACCTGACCACCTACCTACCTGCCTACCTACCTGACCACCTACCTACCTGCCTACCTACCTGACCACCTACCTACCTGCCTACCTACCTGACCACCTACCTACCTGCCTACCTACCTGACCACCTACCTACCTGCCTACCTACCTGACCACCTACCTACCTGCCTACCTACCTGACCACCTACCTACCTGCCTACCTACCTGACCACCTACCTACCTGCCTACCTACCTGACCACCTACCTACCTGCCTACCTACCTGACCACCTACCTACCTGCCTACCTACCTGACCACCTACCTACCTGCCTACCTACCTGACCACCTACCTACCTGCCTACCTACCTGACCACCTACCTACCTGCCTACCTACCTGACCACCTACCTACCTGCCTACCTACCTGACCACCTACCTACCTGCCTACCTACCTGACCACCTACCTACCTGCCTACCTACCTGACCACCTACCTACCTGCCTACCTACCTGACCACCTACCTACCTGCCTACCTACCTGACCACCTACCTACCTGCCTACCTACCTGACCACCTACCTACCTGCCTACCTACCTGACCACCTACCTACCTGCCTACCTACCTGACCACCTACCTACCTGCCTACCTACCTGACCACCTACCTACCTGCCTACCTACCTGACCACCTACCTACCTGCCTACCTACCTGACCACCTACCTACCTGCCTACCTACCTGACCACCTACCTACCTGCCTACCTACCTGACCACCTACCTACCTGCCTACCTACCTGACCACCTACCTACCTGCCTACCTACCTGACCACCTACCTACCTGCCTACCTACCTGACCACCTACCTACCTGCCTACCTACCTGACCACCTACCTACCTGCCTACCTACCTGACCACCTACCTACCTGCCTACCTACCTGACCACCTACCTACCTGCCTACCTACCTGACCACCTACCTACCTGCCTACCTACCTGACCACCTACCTACCTGCCTACCTACCTGACCACCTACCTACCTGCCTACCTACCTGACCACCTACCTACCTGCCTACCTACCTGACCACCTACCTACCTGCCTACCTACCTGACCACCTACCTACCTGCCTACCTACCTGACCACCTACCTACCTGCCTACCTACCTGACCACCTACCTACCTGCCTACCTACCTGACCACCTACCTACCTGCCTACCTACCTGACCACCTACCTACCTGCCTACCTACCTGACCACCTACCTACCTGCCTACCTACCTGACCACCTACCTACCTGCCTACCTACCTGACCACCTACCTACCTGCCTACCTACCTGACCACCTACCTACCTGCCTACCTACCTGACCACCTACCTACCTGCCTACCTACCTGACCACCTACCTACCTGCCTACCTACCTGACCACCTACCTACCTGCCTACCTACCTGACCACCTACCTACCTGCCTACCTACCTGACCACCTACCTACCTGCCTACCTACCTGACCACCTACCTACCTGCCTACCTACCTGACCACCTACCTACCTGCCTACCTACCTGACCACCTACCTACCTGCCTACCTACCTGACCACCTACCTACCTGCCTACCTACCTGACCACCTACCTACCTGCCTACCTACCTGACCACCTACCTACCTGCCTACCTACCTGACCACCTACCTACCTGCCTACCTACCTGACCACCTACCTACCTGCCTACCTACCTGACCACCTACCTACCTGCCTACCTACCTGACCACCTACCTACCTGCCTACCTACCTGACCACCTACCTACCTGCCTACCTACCTGACCACCTACCTACCTGCCTACCTACCTGACCACCTACCTACCTGCCTACCTACCTGACCACCTACCTACCTGCCTACCTACCTGACCACCTACCTACCTGCCTACCTACCTGACCACCTACCTACCTGCCTACCTACCTGACCACCTACCTACCTGCCTACCTACCTGACCACCTACCTACCTGCCTACCTACCTGACCACCTACCTACCTGCCTACCTACCTGACCACCTACCTACCTGCCTACCTACCTGACCACCTACCTACCTACCTGACCACCCACAACCCTGCGCCTGCACTGGCCCCTCCCACCTGTGCTCTAAGAGGCCACTCTAAAGGCTCCAGGAGCTCCAGAGACCCTCCCCCTTTCCTCCCCTCCCCTCCCCCACCTCTCCCCTCCCCAGGGAGGGTCTCTCCACCTCTGTGCCTGCCCTGGACTTCCTGGCTGGCTCTGCTCCTGTCCAGGGTTCCAGCCTTGCTGAAGCCTCACCACCCTGCTCACAGGGCGCCATTTCCTGCCACTGCGTGCACCGGGGCGGTCTCCTGACTAGTGGCGTGTCCGCAGCGCTGGGGTGCAGAGCAAGGGCCGCGCGTCCCAGCGCTAGCGCCTTAGTGCCACGGTAGCTCGGGAGATGCCAGGCAGGCCGGCACTCACGGTTCCGACCGCGTGGTCCCGCACAGTGTGACCTTCTTACCTTGGGGTAGCCATGGCAGGGTGCCCCAACGTGTCACCAGAGCAGACCGCGCCGGGGGCTCCCTGATGCCTTAGAGGACGCTGTCATGGGAGGAGCAACCACCGTAGAAGGGGAAAGGGGCTGACTGGCCTGGTGCGTAAGGGAGCTGATCCCACGTGGCCACATGAAGAGTTCGAATCCCGGCCCTGGAACTAGAATACACTGGATGTGTGTCCCGAACCGGAACAGTGGAGATGGGGGGAGGAGGTCACAGCCTGGCCACGAGCCAGTGGGGAGGTGCTTCCCCACCCCCTCCCTGCTCGTACCCTGGAGAGCTCGTGTGCCCCGGATGTAAAGGTGTACTGAGAGAATGGGCAGACCGCTCGCAAATAACGGCCCAGAGGAGAGGCCGGAATCCAGAGTGCAGGGTGTCTGTGCGACAGTGGCCGCAGGCCTGTGTCCCCAGGGAAGACGTGCGGCCAGTCAGCACACGGGGAGGCTCGGTTGGCGGTCAC